ATGGAAAATGAAAGGAATTGTTAGCGAGGGACGGGAAGGATGTCAAGAGAGGACGAGATTGGATGCAATTAGTGGCGAAACGGGCTCGCGAAATAAAACAGGGATAAATGAATATCCTCGAGCTAGTAAAATAGGTCGAAGTAAAAATAATGGAGGGATCGATGACGAGGATTCGTGCTGCCGCGAAAGGGAGACAAATATGAGCTCCGGCTGGAGGAAGGTTTGGACACCCGTAAATCGTGAGAAATGAAGAGTCGGTGGAAACTGAGCGAGAGGAAAGTGCCAGGAATCGGATAAAGGAGTATTGATGGTTGGAGATGACGTAGATAATCGACCCAAAAGCAGAAAACCATGTGGAACAGAGTCGTAGATGTCGAACGTGCTGAAAATACTCGTTGTAGACTCCTGGCCGATCAGATTGACTTTTAGTGGTTACTGTTTTTTCAGGATTTCTTTTAATTTCATCCAGTTTTCGTCGATTTTCGTAAATTTTATTACGTTAAATTATTAAATTTAATTTTATTAAAGTTTTATTCAGTTTATTCTGTTTTATCTAATTTTATACAATTTCGTTAAATTTCATTCAATTTTGTCTATTTTGTATTTGTTTACCCTGTACAAAGCCCAAAAAGAAAAATTTCTATTGCATAGAGAAATACAGGGTGTCCCAAAAACGTTGTAACACCTTGAAAGAGGTGGTTCGGGAGGTGATTTGAAACAACCTTTTCCTTAGCGAAAATGTTGCCCGAGGCTTCGTTGAGAAGATATTAACAGAAAACCCCGGACCAATCAGAGTGCGCGTATACCGGCGGAGGGCGGTCGCCCAGCGCGTAGCCCACGCCTACAGCGGGCGCTCCACTGGCATCCTCGCGCTCTAATTGGTCAGCGTTTTCCGTTAATATCTCCTCAACGAAGACTCGTACAACATTTTCGCTAAGGAAAAAGTTGTTTCAAATCACCTCCACTCTGTATATAGAGGGTGTCCCAAAAACGTTGTAACACCTTGAAAGAGGTGGTTTGGGAGGTGATTTGAAACAACTTTTTCCTTAGCGAAAATGTTGTCCGAGGCTTCGTTGAGGAGATATTAAGAGAAAACGCCGGACCAATCAAAGCGCGATGATGCCGGTGGAGCGCCAGCAGTAGGCGTGGCTACGCGCTAAGCGGCCGCGCTCATACGCTACTGCGGGCGCTCCATCGGCATACTCTCGCTCTTATTGGTCAGTGTTTTCCGTTAATATCTCCTCAACGAAGCCTCGTACAACATTTTCGCTAAGGAAAAAGTTGTTTCAAATCACCTCCCGAACCACCTCTTTCACTGATCTCCACCATTTTTGGGACACCCTGTAAAAATCAGCTCTTCGTCGTATGCGCCAAATCGATACCTTCCAAACTCCCACAAAATGCACCGTGTAAAAATTCCAAGCTCGTTAATATCGAAACACCAAATACGAATTCTACAAGGTGGCTCGTTTGTCCATGCTTTCGATTCGCGGTGGTATCGTCATCTCGGCACAAAGCGATATTGTCAACCGTACCATACGTCCCTATCTGTCCCCTTCTTTGTTCCCCGTATCCGTTCGTCATTGTGCGTTTCTTTTGACCGTTTCTCTCCCCGCCACTCTTCATTTCCAGGTCTTTTCAAAGCCTCGCGAGTCGGTAATCATTTTCCTCCGGTTCGAGTTCACCCGCCAAACATCCCTCCTCCACTGTTTCCATTGCTCGCCTCTTTTCAGAATCTCTTGTCCGCCCGTGTTCATCCCTCCTTCGATCCCTCGATCTTTAAATCAAATTTTCCAGAAAAATTCTTGTATCATTTATAAAATATCCATAATCTTCCCGGTTGCTGGATCGCTGATATCGTTTACCTCGATTGACAAACAATAAATACCAATATAAACACCTATGCCGCAGCAAATATTCCTAGAAGTTAATTATCATCGAATTAATTACCCCCAGGCACTGATTAGTCTACATTCGCCCCTAGAGCGCCCCCTAACGTCACCTCGCACACCTACATACACTGAACCTTCCATTAACATCAGTTCAATCGTAGCCAGGTCGTGAATAAATTAAAAAATCCTGTGCTCCTATTCGAGTAAAAGTTTGCCCATCAGGACAGCCCTGGAGCTGGAGGAAGACGGCGCGAGAGAGAGAGGAGGAGGGCAAACAGCGGAAAACCAGCATTAGAGGGATACCAGAGGCGGAGAGGGGAGCGACACGTACTCAGGGACGATAACTCACGAGTAGTGGTGGGGTGGTACGCGACGGAGTACGGCGAGGATCCGCGAGAGCGACAAGGAGAGTAGCGCGTACGGAGTGGGAGACGCGTTGGTGACGTCACGGCTGGTCGATACCCACTCATACTCCCTTCTCCAGACGGTAGTAAGCGTGCGCGCGCAGGCGCGGCCTCGCAGCGCTCCTGAGCGCTCTCCTTCCCGCCATATTAGCCAGCATGGGGTAGGCGAGGATGTACGGCAGGGCTGGCTCGGGTTGCTCGTTCTCCCGTGTGGTAATCCGCGTACTCCGTCGCGTGGCAGGACCGTCCTCGAGTCGCGTGGTGTACGGATAAGGGCTGCTGGAGGCCTGAAGAGGTAGATGAGACCTGCGGTGGCTCGACTCGCCTCTACGTTCGCTCGTGTCCTTCGAGGCGTTGGTGCGGACGCATGGATACGCTGGCTGGCACCAAACGCGCTACGACAGGGGGTGAGACGGATAGACGGAAGGAGGAACAGACCTGGACGCAGGGAACGGCCAGGGAGAGGGGCGCCGAGGGTTGGACGAAGCCCGAAGAGCTGCCCGCCGCCGGACTTGCGGACGACACCTCGAACAAAAGGGGTTGTAAATCGGCCGCGCAGGTGTGGATGTCCTTATTGTCCCTCTGCGACCGGATGTGTGGCTCCACCGCGTGGCTCGTCCTCTTCACATGCCTACACAGGGTGCGTTTCAGACCTTCGAGGCTCTACTTTATGGGAAACGTGCTTGCTACGAGGCATAGTTGGTGAAACATGGTGCTGGTCCATTCGGGGCATTTAGGCTAGTAGGTCCTTTCCTGGGGGTTGAGGTCTGGTTCCTAGACACCATTTGCTAATTATGGCTACTTACGACGTGGTAGGGCTACAGGTACATAGCCTCACAAGGTTTGGTAGTTGAATGGACCAGTTACAGTGACACGTT